CAATGCCACAGTGTGCTTTTCACACTGGGCCTTAGAAGGGGAGGCCACCAAAAAGTCATCAATGTACTGCAAAAGGGRAGATCCAGGTGACAGCGTGAACYATGACAGGTTTTTGCACAAAGCTTCATGAAAAATGTTTGGAGAMTCCACATAGCCCTGGCACAGCCGAGTAAAAGTGTAGCAAGCACCTTTAAACTCAAATGCAAACCAGAACTGACTATTTTTGTCAACAGGAATGCTGAAAAATGCATTACTCAGATKGATCACACTAAACCACGTGGCCACAGCTGGTATTTGTGAGAAAATASWGTAAGGATTTGGGACGACCGCCTCTCTGGCGACAACAGCAGAGTTTACTGCCCTGAGATSCTGGACAAAGCGCCAGTCGTGGGGCGGTTTTTCTCTTATTTTTTTCACAGGAAAAATGGGCGTTAGTACAGATGAGGCCMCACARTGCACAATAACACCAGCCTTTAGCAAAGATTCAAACACAGGGGTGATTCCATCAACAGCTTCTTTTTTAAAGGGTATTGCTTCAGTTTTGGCCTAAAATCAGATTTAGGGGTTACAGTCACCGGTTCAACACCTTTTATCAAACCAACATCACATTTGCTTTTTGCCCATAAATGATCTGGGACCTGAGATAGACAGTCATCAATGGAGCCAGACTCATTTATGACCAGGGCGGTTAGACAGTCGACTTTGATGTCAGGCAGCTGGCACACAGAGCYAAAACAGTCAACAGAGAGTTCACACTTTGTTCTGTAAACTTTCAAAGAGGGGGAGAAATCAACCCCAGGTGTRGCTGTGGGAACCCAATCACAGGTGCTCACACAGCATKACAGGAARGGSCCCAACTRGTCCCACGTGTCAGATGGAGCTTTAGCCACAGCGATGTGAGGAACAGATCCAGGAACCGTATAGAACTCACTCTGGGKATGATTCAGTTTTACTGAGACAGTACATCGTTCTGAGCCCCAAAACATACAATCTGTGCACAGGAAATCTTCAAAGAACTCAAAGAAACTCTCAGCAAAAGGGTCTCCTAAAGATGTTGTTGTGAAAACTTTACAGTGTAGGTTAGCATTCTCCTGAATCACTGTTGAGGGGTTAATTACCTCCCTCGTTTTGAGTGTCAGATAAACAGCTGCACCTTCGTCAATTTTCACTCACAGACAAACATGTGATGGTCATCTGTGAGTGCAGGACAGGTAAATGATGTTGTCTGTCTGATTACTTTTAGTCCTGTGGGAGTTGAAACTAAACTCAGGCCAAATTTCAAGATCAAATCTCTTGCTAGAAGATTTACAGGGCAGTTAGTTGATAGCAAAAATCTATGTTTCAGTGTTTTTTGTCAAAGCTGTTCTCACCAAGATCTGAACACTCTACTGATTCAGCAAAGCACTCACGCACACACTTCCCTGAAGCTCCAGTAGAAAAAATGTAATCTTTGCTCTGTACCAGTGAAGGAGCATCAGAAGTTTTTATGACAGAGTGCGTGGCACCTGAGTCCACAAGGAAAACAACGGGTTTTTTATCAACCAGAAGAACAAAAGTTGGATACAGCTTATACGCCTCAGCAAAGTATTTGACATAACTGTCTGTGTATGTAGGTGTTTCAGAGGCCCCTGTGTTGACTTCAGCAGAACTCAACATGTGTGTGTATGCCTTCTCACCAGTTGGTGTGTGTGTGTGTGCATTTTCACTTATCTCAGAAGGTGCAGAAAGCCTGCTGTTCGCAGCCTGGACCGTCTGTGCTTATACGCCTCAGCAAAGTATTTGACATAACTGTGTGTGTATGTAGGTGTTTCAGAGGCCTCTGTGTTGATTTCAGCAGAACTCAACATGTGTGTGTATGCCTTCTCACCAGCTGGCGTGTGTGTGTGTGTGTGTGTGTGTGTGCATTTTCACTTATCTTAGAAGGTGCAGAAAACCTGCTGTTCACGGCCTGGACAGTCTGTGCTTCTGGCGTCGACCCTCCCCGCTGAAGCTCCGCCCGGCCCTGTTCCACCCCTAGTCAGCTGTGGACATCTGTCTCCCCTTTGACGAACCTCTTCGGGCAGTCTTTAACCCAGTGATTCGGGTCCCCACAGATGTAGCAGTAGTAATTTGGGGTTTCTTTGCAGGCTGCTGGTGCCTCCAGTTATCGCGGCCTCTCCCCCGACCGCGAGGGAAACGAGCAGCAGCTGGTTTTGTCACAGTCTGGGCCAATGTTAGCTGTGTTTGCCTGTGGGCTTCAGATATCAGCTTATCTTCAGCCTCTCTTTCATCCTCCAGCTTCTCATATGCGCATCTGGCATGTTTGCGCAGTTTTTCCAAGCGAGCGTTTTTCATGTCCAGACAGGTGTCTTTCAACACTGCAAAGACTTCAGGTAACAACCCGTTCAGGAAATATTGGCTGAAGGCCCTCCCCCAATGCCCCATTACGTCACCCAGGTCTGACGGCTCGTCGACTCCAGAGTACTCATTATGGACAGTTAGCAGCCGAGAGAAATAATCTTCTGTTGATTCAGCTTTTTGTTGTACACAAGCCTTCACCTTTGACATAACAACCTTTCTTGGAAAAACTCGGTTGATGGTGGCACACAGCTTATCCAATGCAGCTCGATATTGGTTGTTTGCTGCGTCATCAAAAGTCAGATGTATGACATGGTATTCACCCACCAGGTCACCTTTAATCTTGTCAAAGTTGGTTCAGCCCATGTGAAAGAGCAGCAGCCTTCTTAGTTCAGGGAAGGTGGGTTGTACTTCCATGTAGAAAGTTTTAATGGCAGCGCAGAACTTTTCCCCACCTTCCACAACGTTCGGTAGCTGCTGCATGTACGCCTTCATGTCCTCATTTGTCCAGGGACGGAACACCAGTGCCGGTCCTGCATGTCCTGCGACCTCTAGCATGGGCAGGGCCAGCTCACTGGTCTTCTGATTTAACGCTGCTAGCTGCGATTCCAGAGCCTCTTTTCCCTCCTGCAGCTCAGCCAGTTTCTTTGCAGTCTTCAGTGCCACAGCATCAGAGCTGTGGTACCCTGTCTTTGACCAAGAGGTGGAGGGGCGGGGGGCTTTTGCTGCACCTTGCTTTTCCTGTCTTTTTCTGAGTTCCATCTTTGTAGCAGCTGCTTCAGTCACCTGTCTCGGCTTTGGCTGTGGTGGTCTTGCTTCACTGGGTCGGTGCTCATAGGAGGTGGTGTCTGAGGACAGTTGTCAGCAGATGTGTCATCATCAGATTCTGTCTGCAGCACCTCTTCCTCCTCGTCATCAGATTCATCCTCAGGGTCATCACTGTGAGAGCCGGGTGCTGTCGGCGGTGGGGGTCGGCGACCAGGGGCCAGAGTGTCCTCATATTGTTCTCTCAGTCCATGCAGAGAGGGATAAATGGAGGGAAACACACGTTTAGTAGTTTTACCAACAGCTTTTAAATCATGTTTTCATCCTTAACAGTAGGCTTTTTTCCTTTACATCTGTATTGGGAGGAGAGCCACTTTTAAGCATACACGTCTCTGAGCTCAGTGCCTTATTTTCTCTCCTTAAAGCTTCCTCCTCCCACGCTAATAAACATTTTTTATGATGCTCTATTTCATTTAAATCAGAGACCTTTATCATTTTTCATGATTTAAGCTTTGATTCATGTTCCATTAAACGGTCCCGGAGGCGGTTCAGCTGACTGGGACTGAAGCTTTCCCCCTCTGGGAAACCGAACTTGTCAGACCACACCCGCAGACATGAGGTGGCTTCTTCGCCATATTTTTTTACCATAGCTTTAGCACATGGCCCCTCTGGTGCTAACCTACGCTGAGCAACAGATGTAATCTGACCCATCACTTCAACTCGTGCCTCAAGGCACTACTTAAACAAACTTCCTTAAAATGGAAATCCGGCGGCCGCCTTTAACTGACTTTTAGCCTACAACTGTTTCCCTGAAACAGAAAAAGGAAAATTAATTTTCCCTCAGCAGTTAGCCTGGCTAACTACCTACTCTAACCAGGTTGAAACTGATTCCCTCCTGGCTACGTCAAAACAGCAAAGTCAAAACCTCCCTGTTTTAAAAACTCGGTCTGGAATAAAAACGCTCCCAGAAACCTACCTCAGCTAAAAGTCATTCAACCTCTGAAAGCAACCAGAGCCGGCACCTAACAAATAGATTTTTAGAGTGTGCTGGGCCCAAAAGAGTTGGCCGTAGCACCGTCGCTCTTTTACTTATTTATTAATTTTTTTCCAAAAACGTGAAGAAGATATTTATCTCACCATGTTTCCGTCAGACAGGTTCTTTCCAGCTCCGGTCTCGAAAGGCACCCACAACGGCCGATGAAAAAAACAGAATCCAGCGTGGACACATRGCAGAGGGAAAAAGCCTTTCTCTCCCCGTCCAGCCGACGATCGGCCGCAGCGGGCAGCTCCCGTTCCCGGAACTGCCTATGACAACGCCAAAATCTGTCGTGACAATGAACGGCAGAAACACGTTGAAATAATGCCAAGAAAAAAGTCTTGCGTGTARGGTCTTAAAATTATTTATTTCTGTGCAGACAAAGAACAGAAAACAATCAGGAAGTCTGTTGAATGTGGCCACCCGTCATAAGATGGCAAGCCAATAATATAATCCCATGCTAACACCATGTGACAATGTACAGCCACTCACAACCTGCCTCATGTTACTATCAGCCAYTGACAGCTCTCAGCTCAAGGWATCAACAWATCTGCACACAGAGAGAGGTCAGCCCGATGCTGGAGTCCTGACGTCTGGAACAACAGATTAAAAACCGGCATAAGTTATCATGAGATATGAYCCGTGGACAGTGTCAAGATGACATAGATATAATTAGTCCATGACAAATATAGTATTGACTATAATATAAAAATGTTTTATGTACATCAACATTTGTCTTCATGTTGGTGAAAAAAATCAGAGACAATCTTTAGTTTTGTCTGAAGACAGTCTGATGGATCACATGAATGTGTTTCTGTCCCATGAATTTCTGTCTCTTGGTAAAACTTGAAGAACTTGTCAAATGTTCAAAGTCTGAGTTTTGTAACAAACTGTTTACTCAGTCACTCAGTAAAGTTTTATATTTTTTTCTCTCCAAACTCAACAGCAGATAAACCCAGAGCCACGGTGACAGTAGCTGAAAGAATCATAGCAGCAAGAGGCACAGTAACACTGAGCTGCTCTGTGGACACATCTGATGGTTGGAGCTTTGACTGGTTCAGACAGGAGTCAGGATCTTCTTCTCCTCAGCTCATAGAYAATAAACRAGACAGAGTCCTCACAGTCTCAGAGGGAGGTGTGTACAGCTGCAGAGGAAGAAGAGGAGATCCAGTTTTCTACACAGAAACCAGCTCTGAAGTCATTATTCAGAAAACTGGTGAGTTTAGTTTTTTCTCCTGAAATGAAACAAAAATCACTTCTTCCATCTTTCAGCTGTTTATCAGTTGTGTTAAAACATGTTTTAGTTTCAATGACAACAAAGAACAACAATAAAACTGATAAATGACTGTAGCTCCATTTAATGAATCCTCTTTATGTTTTGTTCAGATTTAATACACAAATGTAGCTGGATATTTACTGAAAACAAGCCAAATTTTTTTATTACCTTCCTGATTCTTAGTTGCTCTGAACATGTTCTTTGTTTGTGCTGCTCAATGTTTTATTCATTGATGATGTCAAAGTTTATTACTAATGTGATGAATTCATATGAGCACATTTGTTTGCAAAAAAAAAACTAAACTAAAGTGTCATGGTTTTGCATTATTTTTTTATTTGCAGCTGTAGTGAGTTGGTAGGAAAGAAGCAGAAAGGGTTATTAACTGTTTCCGACCTGCACTAATCTTTTGACAAGTTGTTGAACAATATGTGTTCACCCTTTTTAATCAGACTCATATTTACTGAAGTGTGAGATCATAAGAAGTGCAGGAAATTCTTATCTCAGACCAAAATACTCAAAGATAAGGAACCAGCTTTGTCTTTTATGGTGATTTATTAAAAAATAAATAGTAAGAATCAATTTAATTGAATCATGAATAAAAACAGTTACAATAACAACAAAGACAAGCTATAAGATTTCTAAAGCTGTTAAAGATGAAAGTTAT